AGTTCAAGATTCATTTTGAGGGCTATCCCTGAAGGTGTTTTTATGTATAGCCTATTTTAGGGCTTTGTGGATATTCCCTATATCATCAGACTCAGCCTGCTGTGCGGCCAGATTATATTTATGTATTCTTTGCCTGACCCTGGTGGGGCTGAAAGAGTTGGATGCCAAGTTGTTAGATGTCAAGTCATTTTTTTTGTAAAAGTTACTAAAGTATTTAGTTTGGAGAAATAAGAAATGGTAGGCCAACTCTTACCAATTGTTTCTAATACTGCCAAATCAGAAGTGGGGAGCTCGTTAGTTAGTCCTTTATGTGCCTTAGAGGACATCATGATCAAGACCAAGCAAAAATAATCACAATTATTTACCCTTGCTATTTTATTAAAGGGAGGAAAAGAAAACCTGAAACTACCCAAATAATTAACTGGTAACTTCTGTTACCAATATCTTTTGCATGCCTCTCCATGAACAACTTTTAACTGAGATGATACTCCTGAGCTGGAACACTTCTGACATGTACTTTCCTCTTGGTAAATTAACACCTATATATGTTGTTTCTCCAAATTATTGTGACTGTCAAAGATAATGTTCAGATAATCTTAACTCTGTCCACCGATCCATACACATTACAATATTCTCTTTAATTGCATAATCACTTGCTATTCCACAAATAATATAAGTATAGATATATTAAATCTTAAGTATATGCATAGAATAGTCTAGTACTGTATGAATGCTAAGCACACATTCAAGTAATTCGTAAGCAAAACATGCAATGAGTAAGGCAAGGTCTCCATACATAGTACAGTCTCCACAGCAAAGGGAGTGGGCTTGTCTCACACAATGTGCACTTCATTCAGTGCACATTTTGAGAGATATGAGCATTCCTCATGCAGCTAAATTGATCACCTGGTTGTGAATGATATGGTTGTTTGAGATTTTATTTTTATTTTAAATGCCACGTTCTATTTTAAAAAGTGTCACTAAATGTTTCTGTTAATTATATGTCATGTACAACAACTTTTTTTCTTGGCACTCGCTGGGAATGACCTGCACAACCCTCATTGTTTCTTAACTACTCAGTAACGTGACCATCTCGCAGTCACACTGATAAAGATATTTATACAAGGCCAAAAGAAAGGGATAGAAATCTCTAACTACTCCAGATTTACTTAGTGCCACTATGCAAGGCCAGTAGATAGACAAATGCACCTTAACTGGGATTTTTCAATACTCTTGAAAGTATTGAACAACTATTGCTAGTTATATCAGATTATGTGGTAGGGAGATAAGTGTTGGTGATGTAGGTAAATGGGTACTCGGGTACACCCAGAACTATTTTCACTTGGGACTGGCAAAATATTTTAACCTCTATTTCTAAACATGAAAGTTTAGTACATTGAATTTTGTGTCTCAGCTATACTTCTAACCTAACTTTTGATGTCACGTTATGTTCTTGGAATTACTTTTGATCAGAACTTACCAGTGCTTTATTGATTTAAAATTGAGTTGGCATAGTATTTACACTGAGTTTTTTCAGCTCTTTCAGTTGATTAAAAAGTTAATCAGACTGTTATAAATCCTTGTGTTCCACTGTTTCAAAATGTTTTCATGGTCTGTAGTTTCCGTGCAGATTTACAGATCCATTAAGTTTTAGCCTATTTTCCAGCACCATTAAAAAAAATCCTGGATCCTGGAAAACTATGCATGTCCTTCACTTACCCACTCTGCCAGTGGAATATTCTCAGTACATAAATTTAAGCATCTCTGTAAGTCTTTGCAGGATCTGTATTGGTGACGCTGTCTTTTCAGAACTGGAAGCCTATCCGAAGTCATTGCAGCAAGGTGTATAAGAGTATTTTTGCTTGTGATGTTTGCTTTTGATAATATTCTCTTTGTCTCTGCTGCAATCTGTGAATAAAAATATCTTTGTTATTTGCACAGTTTTGTATAAGCACAACACTTAATTCCACAAGTTCTGTTTTTCTTAACTTAAAGTTTCACTTTGCATACCTTCTGTTGTCCTCTTCAGAACAATAAAAATAATCACCTCCTCCTCACCCATCAGTCAAGCACTTAAACAAGTCTTCAGAGTTTAGAAAACAATTTTTACTTTCAACTTAAAATCTTGACAGGGTAATCTGTGGGATTCCACATAAATGCATAACATTTTAGCCATGTGGATCCTGCAGAATTGGGGCCATAATACATTGGAGTGGATGGTCAATCAAAAGACTGTTTTGACTTTATTGGTGAAGCAGCATAAGGATGTTTGCACAGTCTGTAAATAAATGAAAGACCTCAGTTTTCTGCATTTCAATGAAAGCTTCACAAGTACAATATATACGACTCTCAACTTCTCAAAAGGAAAGCTATAAATACCTAATCTAAGCAAAGTGTCCAAGCAGATTGAAAATAAGATACATGATTTTATACCTGAAATATTAAAAAAATTATGAAATATTTCAATTGGGAATCTTGATATTAGATGTCATATATTTAAGGAACTTGTATGTTCCTTTCTGATGTGATTTTGCTGATTTATACTTCCTACATTTTTTTAAATGTCTTGTTTTATTGTCCATTGAGTGTCAGGCCCCAGTAGCAAAACATGTTGTCTGATACTAATAGGGTTAAAAGGATCTCCGCTATGTGTACTATCCTGTGCATTATACCTACATAGCTTATACATTGTTTCCCCTATCTCCCCCCAGTATTAGCAATCTGCTTTTGTACTTTGACATCAGGGATGTCCCTAGTGAATTTTGTCACAGAAAAAAGAGAATCATCAATATCGCAGTTAAACTTGACTTTCAAAGCTAATAGTATCTCATTTGGGGGCTCAAATTTAATAAATTTTCTTTGATTCTGGGTGAGTTTTTAAACATCAAACAATGAATTGGCCAGGGTGCAGTAAAATATTTAGATCTATTGACTATGGTTCAGAAGGGTAGAAGGCAAAACACTAGTGGTTTGATGTTGATAAATTCTTAGTACCTTAATCCACATTAATGTTGTCTTTTATCTGTGTGCATATTGGCAACTAAAAGAGCCTGAAAAGTTGACACATATAAACTATAAAAATTAAATAAAATATATATTTAAAATAAGATGTTTGTGTTATATTAAGCAAGGTTAATACCTGAAGAGCATTAAACATTCTGACAGAAGACCCTAGAGAATATGTTTGTTCCACAGGACTGTATATCCTGAACTTCGTGCACTATGTGAGAAAAAGTATGTGGCCTATACTGTTATAAAAATTGCATTATAGGGCATATATTTGGCAGCCACAGGTATTGACAGGAATTTTTTAGGTCAACCTGGGAAATGTAGTGTTCCCTGTTCCTATAGACTATAGCAGAGATTAAAAAATAACATTTGTATCCTGAAATGTACTTGTTTAGTCATAGTAGACTGAATGTTTTGATGCTAAAATGGGTACATTTTTCAGTATAATCAACAGCATTTAAAAAAGTAGAAGCAGTTAACAGAGAATGCAGATGTCATCTAGAATTTTAAATCAGGGTTAATATATTTTAATTTAGGATTGATCGGATATTTTAGGAAGGTTTAGCTATATGTAAGAGAAGCTGCCCAAATTCATCTTTGTATAGAGTGTTGGCAAATGGTATGTTCTGTCATTTTATTATTCCCTTCTAAAACTATTCATTGACAGTAAAAATGAAAAATGATTTTTTCTATGCTAACTAATCTTTTGTAATAGATATAATGTATACATATTAGTGTATAATATAATTTAATTTGGTTTAATTACTGGAATTTTATTTTGTAAGATCCAAAAATAATGTAAGATTAGGAAAAGGGAGTAATAATAATTACTTCGTGTATCAAATAAAAATGGACAAATTGGGTGTATACCGTTATTACATGTGTTGTACATGTAATATGTCAAGAGCAGGATAAAATACACAAGTATATATACTTATATACAAATAAATACACTTATTTTCAGTATGTGGGGAAAAGTTGTTTTTAATTAATGAAAATATTTTATATTAATGTGACACAGTAACATTTTTGTGGACATTCAAAAGGGAAAATATCCATCATATTTATATAGCTGAGATTCTCGTGTATTTTTATAATTTTAATGGCATATAAGTTTATATCATATATTAAAAGCAGTTTTTTTGCTTAGCCAGCAGGTGGCAATATGATACCAACTGCATATAGATACATTTGACAACATAAGTAGCGCACTCACATTTATATTTGGTGGGAGGCAGGAAGTTGATTATTATGTTTGATTTTTTTTTTTAAGGATTGCAAAAAGTAAAAATTAAACTATCTAGACTTTGTACAAATACTACTGGGTTTCCTCTTCCTTGTTTTGAAGTTGTACAGCTAAGTTGGATAATACTAATCATGTATTCATTCCTTTATGTGAATCGTCAATAAGAAATATAACAGGCTGTACAATTAACATAAGAAAAAATTACTGCTGCAGGTAGATTTTTTTTATTTCTATTTTAGGAAGGATTTTAAATTTAGTTCTGGGGCTTAATTGAGTTTATAGTATTGAACCTCACTACAATATGAATGTGATCTGTACACAGCAGTCAAAACTCGTTTATCTTCTCTGCTCTTACGTGTTGTTGCACAGTACTTTATTAATAGTTGATGATTGTTGGATGGAAAGTGTAATTACTGCCTACAGTTTGGTTTGTTTTCTGTTAGGGGTTTTAGGAGGGATGGAGCTGTAAAATTTGTACACCAGTTGGAGCGAAGCCCTCAGTGAGTCTTCTTCCCTTCTCATTTCAGTCCAGAGGAGGATGCTTTTTCTTCTTAACATTCTCTCCCAGCGCTCTGAATTAGAGATTTATTTGCAACGAAAAATCAATTAGTCCTAAATTTATTCATGGATTTCAGGTCCAACGATCAATGCAAGTCCACTCAGTGGGCTCAAGGGGACCCAGTTCATCCCAGTTAATGTGTCTGAAGGGGAATTACCATTGATGCTGGGTTTTTTTTCCCTTTAGGTCAGAGATCAGATCTCGCTGTCACGGACTGCGGCAACCAGGAATGACTTCACCCTGCAGCTACCCAAACTGCACCTGGAGACCTTTGCAATGGAAGGGCTGAAGGGCGGGCCAGAGGTTGTAGCATTTCAGGTTAGAGTCTAAATAACCTTTTTTTTTTTTCCCCCAACTGAGTATAGAGAGAAACAAAACTGCTTTAAGTGGGGAGAACAAAAGCTTCAGAAATTTTGTAGTCAACAGCTAAAAAGAGAAGCAAACTAATTTCCTTACATATCTTTGAATTATATAATTCAGAATCATTTAGGAACTTTTCATATTGGAGATGAAATATTAAATAATTGGGGAAAAAACAGGTACCACAGAAAAAGATCTAAAGTAAAGTGTTATATTTGAACATTAGTGTTGGGAAAAGCTGCTTTCCTATTTAATTTAACCTGAGCATCACAGAAGAATGAAGACAAGGAACAGTATTTTCCTGCTTCCCTATAGCCTGTTTTAAGATGATTTTTTTTTGCTAAAATTAACAGATTACTGGAGATTTAAACTGTCAAACAGTCAACATTTTTTAGAGCAATACTAATTTAAGACGAATTGCAATTTTGAATAATCAAGCACAGAAAATATTTTGTTCTTGTAATCCCTGGTTTTAGAAAATGCCATGTTTCCATGTCTAGACAGTATTAATTCAGAGGGGAACAATGGTGGTGATGGTGGGGAATTGGTATGAGCTAAAGTAGGACCATATTCAGCTTAAAAAAAATGAACTCTGTATGTGTTTAGCTTATGTCTAATTATGCACACATTATCCCTTATCTTTTTATAGCCATTCAAAATAACTTCATTCTTGTGCTACAGAATTGCTAAAGGCAAACATTTTTTGTTTTTGAATGAGAGACTGTAGAGAACAGTGAATAAATATTGCTTTCACTGTGCTCTTGCTATGTATGAAAAACTGAAGTGTGTTAACTTGTGTGCCCGTTGTAGGGATTGTCACGTCATTTGTCGCACAATGGATGTGTGCTTTCATATTGTTCATTTTTAAAACAATATGAACTGTGTATTCCGTAAAAGGTATGTCACGGAAGTGTTAGGGTTACACACCTAATCACTTACATTCAGGAATCACAGAATTAAAGTTGAACGTTCTTTCTTATATCTGTCCTCTTCCACATATAAAAATATATGATACAGTTTTTAATTATGCAAAATACTGTCTGCAACATTTTTGAATAATACGAAACAGTATAAAACTCTTAGGGTGTTTTTTATGAAAAAATAAAATTGAAATGTATCTATTCATTGGAAGGATGTAGGGAGAGGATAGAGAATAACCTTTCCTTAACTCCCTTCTTAAGAGTGAGATTCCACAAGTAATGTCTCCTGAAAGGCATGTAAAAACAAAACAGCAAAGATGTTGCCTTTTTAAAGCTGTTTCCTCCTGCCTCTCTATTCTGATAGCCTGGTGTGAGGCCACCTGTCTTTTTCTTTTCCATCCCATGGCCCTGGTAATGTTGCCGAAGCTCTTGCAAGATAGCCTGTCCCTTTGTCCTCTTTAAGGGGATGAGGATGAACAGAAACTGTATTTCAGGACTTCACTAAGTGCCAGGGTACTGAACTAGTGCACAACATGTTCCCTGAGAGGCTAACTGGTGGTGTGATTGCACACATGTACATTGCTTCTGCCCTTGACAGCAGAAGCAGCATCTGGTTACTTTGCATATAGGTAAACAGCAGACATGGTCTACAGTTTATCTAAGCCTGAATTTCTGAGGATTTTCTTTCTTATTGTGTTTATTCTGAAACTATTTTCTATATCAGCAGAGAGCATATTATTAATTCTATTTTCCAGATTTTTAACTTTACTTTACTTTTAGCATTTCCTTTTTTATGTTGGGTGCCCAGTTAGTTTAATTTTAATTTCATTGCATGGATTAAATGTATGCAAAATGTGCATCTAAGTATCCTGCCCCACAGTCTTGAATTATGAAGTAGCTGTTACTCATGCAAGTAGTGCAACATATTAAAATCAATGGGATTATCCGCACAAGTTAAATTTTCTTGATTACATTGAATTACTGGTAAATATCTTTCAGTCATGTAATAAAGACTGCATTATATGCAAATATTAAAAATGAACTTTCAGCCCCAACTATAAGTGCACTGAGTTGTGTGTGTTTAATTTCTTGCACATAATTCTTTTATTTCCTTTTTAAATTCAGAGAAGGGGAAAAAACCAGAAATGGGTGACAGTTATAGCAATAGCTATTGGAATCTGTGGCTACTGACCTTAGCTATGTGACGAGGAAGTAAAATGTTATCAGTGTGATCTATATTAATTGACGAGGATCAGTAAATAAAATTCAGGATCTAGACAACAACCCCAGTGTGTTGCCTCTGTATTACATGTAGTGAGAAGCAAAAAAATCTTTGCAATAAAGTAGCAAATGAGTCCACCTGAATCATTCACTCTGTAAGAGAACCTAGAGCTAGAGCAGTGTTTCCCAATTTTATTTGGCCACGGAACCCTTTTGAACTTGAAAGAATTTTGTGGAACCCCTGACTGACTGTCATCATTGTCCCTACTCTCTGGCTAAGCTGGCATTACACAGGGACGCTTATCGTGGCAAACACAAATGAAAATTGTTTTCAATACAATTCATAAATGAATGAAAATTTCATTCCATTACAATAATTCAGGTTGTAATGGAATTTTCTCACGGAACCCTTATTTTCACTTCGGAACCCCAGAGATCCGTGGAACACCATTTGGGAAACACTGAGCTAGAGGAACTGGTCATAGTGCTTCCAAATTTCGCAGAAAGTGATTGGTATTGTAGAAGAATCAGAGAGGATGAAAGCCGCCATGCTTGATGCAAGTGTTGGACCCAGAGGCATTAGAGATTTATAATGCATTTGGATTGAAAATGGTAGACAAAGTCATTCAGAAATTTCAAGAATATTGTGCACATCTGAATGTCACTTTGAAAAGGTAAATAAACTGCCAGGTGAGATGCTCAAGCATTATGTCACATGCCTACATAGTAAAGCTAAGTTGTTTGAATTTGAACAGTTAACCGATTCAATAGAAACCTAGTTCTTTCTTGCATAACTGATAACCAAGTCAAAACCAGAAGACATTTCTTGAAAGAGAATGGACTGAGCTTGCAAAGAACAGGTTGAAAAATACATATTAAGTGTGAAGCTTACCGAGGAGCTTCTTACCCTGGACATGCTTTCAAGAATATCCAAGACAAGGAAAAATAGTGTTCCATTAAGAGGAGTGATGCAGGAATTATGACTACCCATTTCTCAAACAAAACTCAGCAAGCTGAAACAAAAATGACAATATGAACCCATCATTATAGCAGTTTGAGAGAAGGCATTCATGATGGATGATCAGCAAAAAAGCCCCGTTACTTAAAAAAAATACAACTGTATAGTTAGAATACAACTTTTTAGTTACAGTTGCTGGATATGATGTGATTCACTACAAAGGATGTGTCACAGTGTACCCTTGCAGGTACAGAGATAAGTAAGGGCTGAGCTGGTGGTGCTTTTCTGGCCAGACATGAATGTAGCCGAAGAGAAGAGAAGAGAAGAGAATGGTAAGATATCCAAATGTGAAACCTGCAATAAATACAGGAAACAAGATGCAAAAGACCCTATTGAAACAATCTGAGTGAGATTCCTGGCAGTCCTAACCAAGAATTTATCAAGGTCTATTTGTAGTAAACTGGAAATATTATCTTTTGTTAACACCTAATACCCACTTAGAGAAAAATTGAACAGAAGCACTACACAACAGCAGTTTCCTGGGTTAATAACACTGGTCTTTTTCACAATTTCTTTGATGGACCAGTTCAAGAATATCACAGTGAGGTGTTATACAGAGTCAGTACTAAGAGCAAGACCTTGATATTAGAAAACCAGAACCATCCTTGTCATGTCAAAGAGTATGCATGTAGAACATCATCTCAACACACCTTGCAATAATTCGTTATGATCATGAATTCAGAAACTTGCATGCAGAAGAATATATCAAGCAAGCATCTTGGACCAAAGTCAGTTAATCACAGCATAGAGAAGAGCTATATGCCAGAAAGCTAGCACCGGAGAAATACAACAATAACATGCCTTCCCACTCACAATGGAGGTAAGTATTAAATATAGAGTAACAGGCAACTTGCCAAATGTATAGCTTTGCCACTTTGAGGTTATATGTCCTAGCCAGCCTTAGAGATTGGTCCTACCAGAGGAATACAACATATTTAAACAAAATCAAGGAGAATTGTGGCTCTGTTTATTGAGAACATCCTAAATGCTAATGATACTGTTCCTCTGCAGACCAAGGGAAAACATTTTCACCCAGTCACTAAAAACAAACATGGATTGCAGTTGTCAGCCCCACTTTAGCTGTCGGAAACTCCACTGCAGAAGAAACTAGTGGTATATGGCTATGTGGCAAGACAGCCATTGAGGTTCAGAGATTGGTAGTTGCTGACAGATGTGCAATTAGAGACAGAATAATCCTTTCATCTCTCAAGGGATCTACCTTGACCTCCATCCTAGAAGTCAGCATGTGCATGTTTTCCTAATTGGTTCTATTAAATTGTGGGTGTTGTTTTTATTTGATACTATGTTTTATTTGCATTTTGATGTTTATTAAAGAGAAGTGGAATTGAAGACAGATATTGCTGTCTGTCATGTCATAATGGCTTTAGCTTTTTCTAACCTTAACTCATACAAAGTGATTAGGTCTAGGAATTGCAGTTCAATCTCTTATCCTGGCTTCTCCTTTATTATAAGGAGAGTACAAATTTTACAAAGGAAGAAAATTTGAGAAAATGTGGTGCGTGTATGAGGGTTCCTGTATAGATATGTGAAGACTGAGTCTACTGGCTGGTGTGACAGCTTGAATGGCTGTTTACATTGTGTGTGTGTGTGTGTGTGTGTACAGGTCAGTTGAAGTCTGTGTATGAACTGAAGGCTCTGAATGTGTGGGCTGTACATGGGGCTTGAATAAGTACATGCATGTATGTTTGAAACTGTTTCCCAGTGTGTGTGTGTGTGTGTGTGTGTGTGAAAAGGTACGGTGTATCAGGATGATACAGGCTTCTCTGAGAGAATGAAGC